TCTGTGACTATGGGAAAGGCTAAAAGCAAGCTACTGCAAGGGCCATAGAAAGAGCGTGAAGGCAAAGAGAAATAAAATCAGCAGCTTTATTCTCATCTCCCTCCTAGAAAGAGATAGGGTTAGGTACCACAGACACTCTCTCATCTGTGAATTGCCCTTAATACCAAACGGCCAGCTTTCACCTTTACCTCTGTCATACTGGGCACAAATTTAAAATTTCCGTAATCAAACTTCCAAGTTTGAACCATAATCAAAATTCCCCATTCCCATTATTTGAAACTGAACTGAAGCCTCCAATTGCCCTCATTCTCAATGTCTGTCCTCTGCGTTGGCAGTGACAGTGAGGGTAACCCCTGGAAAAAGGGGTGTCCCCAGCCCTGACATGACTGAGACCTGTCAGGGGCGATGGTGACTGCTCTTCCCCCTTACTTCTCTACTTCATGTCTAGGATTTGTGAGCAGGCACGGACATTTGGGAAGCTGGGGACAGAACAGGAGATACAGGGGTTACGTGTAGGATGGGATGAAGACCAAGAACACAAAAGGGACTCCGGGATGACGAAAGCAAAAAGAGAAAGCAAGAAAAGGCAACAGACAGGTGAAGAAAAGCCTATACGTGAAACAAAAAATGGAGACAAATTGTGTGGAAGAGAAGGCTGGCAGCGTTGAGGACGGGGCGATGGGGAGGGTTAAAATGGCAGCTGCCTTTACGGGCAGGAGGTCAGCCAGTGCCTCCTCACAGATGCCCGAGAGAGGTGTGCTTCACGTTAAAGAGTAACACTGTTCGAGAGCAGGCAGCTTTCCATCCCTGCTCAGATATTTAAGCAAATAACACAAAACGAGTGATGCGGTAGGGGCCGGGAGACGAGGAGTCAGGGAAGGGCCCTGACCCCGGACTGTGGCAGACCTCCGCAGCCCCTGCTCGGATGGCGGCTGCCACAAGCCCCGCCGGCAGGTAACCCCAGCGGCCTCCCTCCCTCCTTTCAGCGGCAAGAAAACCTCCGGCACCGCCTGCCCCTCCGGGGAAGACCCCAGGCTCCCCCCCGCCGCCACCTGCGCCCCTCGGCCCGGCCTCTCTCCCCCTCGCCCGTGGAGCGGCGCCATGTGCCGCCGGCAGCCGCTTCCCCCGCTAGCCCGGCAAGTTTTCGGGCGAGGTGAGAACAGCCACGAATAGAGTTTACCAAAAAAAAAATATATATATCTATATATTTTAAAGCTGTCGCGGGGTGCTGGCAGGAGAACTAAAACGGGGGAAAGCTTCGAGGGCGGCGCGGGGGGTGATGCTAAGGCAGTGCCAGCGGCGGGCTGAGGGGAGGCGGCGGGGGGCGCTGAGGCGGCGGCGGGGCGGGAGCGGGGCCTGCAGGCCCTCACGCCGCGGGGGCCGGGGGAAGAGCTGAGGGGGTCCGGCGCTGAGAAGCAGAGCCCGGGCGGCAGTGGGCAGGGAGCGGCCGGTGGGAGCAGTGAGAAGCCGGTGTGGGGCTATCAGAGGGGGCGGGAAGGGCTGCTGTAGCGGAATGAGGAGGAGGGCAGGGGTCCGGGAGAGCCAGGCGGGAGGGTGCTGCGGGGAAGGCGGAGGAGAAGCTGTCGGGGGTGGGTGTCGGGCCGGAGGGGAGGTGAGGGGGGAACGCCACAGAGGCGGGCAGCGTGCGGGGTGAGGGAGGGACGGGCGGGCGCTCACCTCTGTCCTCCAGCCCCTCGCTGAACTGCCCGCTCTCCCCGATCCGCAGCTGCTCCTGCTGCTGCTCCCGGGGGGTCACCGACGAGTTGGCTCCGGGGGGCTGCACGATGGCGGGGTCCGGAGTGGCGTCCAGAGGGGCAGCGGACGGCTCCATGGTCTTGCGGGGCGGCGGGAAGCGGCTGGAGACTGTGGCAGCGAAGCGAGGAGCCAACGGAGCATCCAGCCCGGGTGCGAGCCCGGGGAGAAGGAGGAGACTCCGGCTCAGAGCATCAGGGAGACGGGGACAGGCAGCAAACAAACTCCTCTGGCTGCTCCCCGCCAGCCGCTCCCCGCGGCCGCCTCATCACTAAACCTCGCCGGCGGCGGAGGGAGAGAGAGAGGGAGGGGGGAGCAGGTGGGAGAGCGGTGCCGCCTCCCCGCGCTGCCCTTCCCCTTCCCGCCCCGGGGAGCACCTCCGGCGGCGGGAGCGGCGCCCGGCTCCGCAGCGGGGCGGGGGCGGCAGCCGGGGCCGGGCGGCGGCTCGCCCCCGTGCGGAGCGGCCTGTGAGGGTGAGGAGAGGTGGGCGGGAAGGGCTCCGGTGAGTCGCCCTCGGGGGGGCTCCTCGCCCTCGGGAGCCCGCGGGCAACCCGCGAACGGTGCGGCAGGACCTTGGGTTTAAGGTACGTCCCCGGGGGCAGCCGAGGGAGCTGGAGACCTGTCAGCCTCTCCCGCCATGGTGGGCTCTGCCTTCCTTCACCTCCCGCTGCCAACTCTCTCAGGGGGGAAGAGTTGTCCGGTGACTCGGAGCCCTTGTGCAGCAGAGCGGGAGGCAGACGCCTCACACTGCTCCTGAGGGATGTGGGTGCTCGCCCTGAGGTGTGAGGCCCCCTCACCTCCCCTCACCCTGAGGTGTGAGGCCCCCAGCCGCCTGGCCTCCCCTCGCCCTGAGGTACCAGGCCCCGGCTGCCTTATCTCCCCTCACCCTGTGGTGTGAGGTCCCCCGGCCGCCTCACCTCCCCTCACCCTGAGGTGTGAGGCCCCAGCTGCCTTATCTCCCCTCCCTGTGGTGTGAGGCCACCACCGCTTCACCTCCCCTCACCCTGTGGTCTGAGGCCTGGCCACCTCACCTCACTTCCCCTCGCCCTGAGGTGTGAGGTCCCAGCTGCCTCACTTTGCCTCTCCTTGAGGTACAAGGCCCTGGCTGCCTCATCTCACCTCGCACAGTTAAAATACAGTGTTCCCTTTCGCCAGGGAATTTGCTCTTTCCCCATCCGCTGTACCCCCTTTTTTCAGGATTGAAGCCGAACCACCACACATAGGCACCTCTCTGACCCCCCAGCACTGATATTTCATTACTTTGACAGTTGGTTTTACCAATAGTAGCCCAAAAACTGGCCAAGAACATACAGCAATCTCATGCTGAAGCATGGGATTAGGGCTGGAGATTTGCTGATGTTCAAGGCCATTTTTGGTTCAATCACCTGCCGGTCCTAGGGCCGTGGAAGAATGTAGGGAAAAAAACTAAAACCTTAGGAGAACAGAAATTAAAAAGAAGAAAAAAAAAAAAGGAAAATTTTACTCATAGACCTGTGCCACAGCTGTTTTCTTCTTCTCCTCTGGTTTCTAATGACTAGATAGAAAGGTGCAAATAAACAAAAGTGTTTTCTGTGCTAGCATGGTCTCCCAGCTGCGTGCTCAGTAGCATGCAGAGTAATTTTGAAACTGCATTGTGTTTTGACTTGAGTCTAGGAAAATATCAGAAGACGATTAGACATTGCAGCCTAGGTGCTCAGCTGATATGTATTAATATAATCCCCATTTAAGTTACATGAAGATCAGGTTACCTTTCTCTTTTGACAAATTAGCAAGTTTGGGGAGTATGGAAAGGCCAACAGGAAATTAATATTTATGCTAGCACAGGGACATGATTTTATAAGCTGTCAGACTCTTGCTGATGTCAGCCTTAAAAAAAAGTTTTGCAGTAGTTTAGTAATACCTACTTGGGAAACGTTGGTGAAATGCTACTACCAAAATACCTTAACTGTAAACAATGCCTCTTAATGCTATATGCTAATCTTCAAAATCCTTTCAGCTGTATTTTAAAGCATGAATTATTTGAAAAAGTAAATATAAGTGAATGTTAAAGTGACATAAAATATTGTTTTAGAAACTGATTGGCATTCGAGCAGTCTTGCGGAAAGGAGATGGCTGTTCTGGTGTGAGGGATTTGTGTTTGCTTTTTACCTAATCTTATCATTTCTTTGTGTATCGTCTGCTGTACCTGCTATATGAAATTTTTTTGAAGTCTTCATGCTTCTTGCCTAAATTTCATCTTCACTCTTGGCTATCCTAGAGTGCTTTGTGATCCCAGAGCTCTCGCTCTTCTAGTTGGATCAGCATTAATATGAATACAAGCAATGCCCAAAGTATTTTTTTCCCTCATGTAATGGATATTAAATTACAAAGTGCCTATTTGATGTTCATGTCAAAAGAGGTTCTTATGTGCATAGGCTAACACAAGTGAGTTCTTTTGAGGGAAGTGCTATTTTTTGGGTTTAGGCTGAATTGGGAGGAATTGGAAACTAGTAACTCTATAAAACAAATATGGTTATTTTCTTTATGGGCTGTTTATTAAGCTCTGGTGATCTTAAACCTGTGAGATACAAGAGAAGATCTGTATGTATATGCATATGAGAGATAAATGAAAAGTAAAAAAGACTTACGTTTTGTTACTTGCCATAAATACTAGGTTGTCATGTCTCTCCGTCACTTAAAATGTGTTTGTAAAGTGAGAGTCCTTAAATGAATAGAACCAGTTTTGTTACCTGGTCAGAGGCAAGGAACTGGGGCCAAATGACTTTTCAGGACCTGGCAGGGCTACAGAAACCTTTGGTGAGTCAGTCTGGGGAGACGCTCTGCTGTGCAGAGTGCATCCAGTATAAGCCATGAAGAGTCCCTTGAAATTGCTGCAATGGATATAACGCTGCCTGCTGCAATTGCTGCAGGATCCTTCCTCTTCTAGGGAGATAACTCCGTATCTGATCCATTCCAGCAGGAATTCTCTTATTCCTTGCACAAATGAAAAGTTGACTAGTGAATCTCATTGGACACTACCTCCTTTCTGTAAGTCTCTCTAAGCTATTTTGGTGTTCTTACAACTTCCAGAAATTAACCCAAGAGGGAAGTGCCTGGAGGTTCCTAATTCCATTTCTTCAAAAGGAGGTGAAAGGAGTATTTTTCCGAATGATTTGGAGGGAAACAGGAACTTGGAACACCAAACCGCAAGCTTTAAACTTTAATATGTTCCTTTTTCTTTTTTTTGTTCTTTTTTTTAGTTCTCTATTGCTGTTCTGACATAAAACTGTGTCCGGAAGGGATTGCAGCTGTCTCTATTTGTATAAATGCTATAGTGTTCAGGACATAGCAAAGAATATGAGACTTGCAAAGAGTGTTATGGTTTCTCTTGAATGACTCTCTTCAGCATGTCCTCATGTGAGAAGGAATGTACTCTGCCTTTAGCAAATACAAATTCAAAACATTAGGCAGATCAGAACATTATTTATATCAGCTAGCTACTAAGAAGCAGAAAGACTGCCATATCATAGCAACTGGAAACTGCTTTCCAGCATTGCCTCTTACTTCTTATGACACTTCTTTCACTCAAAATCTATTCCATTGGATAAAGATGTAGGGCTAAGGTTTTGAAGATGTGGATCCTATTTTCCAGCCCTGTTGGACTTCCTGTGTAGGAATCCTGTAGGCAAAGTCAATGAAGAGAAAAAAGCCTGACCCTGATAGCTATATTATTATATTATTTCATTTCCTAGCACCTCAAGCCTCCTTGAATATTAATAAGGAGAAGCCAAAATCAATTTAAAAAAAAAAAAAAAGAGCCACATCTATGGATTCAATCTAAATCAACTGACACCATCCCATATTCTATAGCTGCTGCAAGATTAACACGTGCTTGCAGGTATTTGTCTCCAGCTGGAACTGCCTGTGATTTCCACAATACTTTGACTTCTGGAGAAAGGTGATTTCAAACAAGATGGAGGACTCTTGCATTACAGCAACCGACAACAATGAGGAGAACTTCTCTTGTTTTTCTTCATCTGGATTGTTTGTGGTCTGGTTTTGCTGTGGTGGTTCCTTCTTCTTCCCTTCCTTCTATTGAATAAATGAAAAAATATCAATCAGATTTGAGATTCTCCCTCAAGGCCCCCCCTCACTCTCAGCAATGTCACAGACAGAACTTCAATTATATTTGACAAAAATTGGATTAGGTCCGTTATTTTTTTTCTTTTCCAAGGTAGGCATTTTCCTGAGGGAATAAGCAATCTTTTGCCAGTAGGTTGGCCTACTTTCCTGACTTAGAGTCCCTTTGTTTCACTGAAACATTATTCCCATACTACCATCAGCACCCGTTCTGGGGCTGCGTGGTGCAAAAAGGCAGAAAGAATGCAGTGCTATTGCACCATGGAGAGTGAAAGTAGAACCAATGGGTGACAATGGCAAAACCAGTCCAGGTCTGTCAGCGAGACTGTGGTCACTATATGAATGCAGAACATTTGTTACTCTTCTTCAGTCTTTGTCTCTAGTCTTTGTGGAGTTGAAATAAATTGTTTTTCATTGTAAGGACAAGTTAGCATTGCATGTTCGTTTGTCATGCTGAAAATGAGAGCTGCATCTATTCTGGACTCTGTTTTTCCTTTTTAGTGCTACTGACTGGAATGTTTTCACCTGAATTAGCAGAACACAGTGGTGCATTCAGAGGCTCCTGAGAAGGAAGTTTGCTTGATTTCATTGATGTTAACTAGTCAATGTTCCATATTGACCATCTTTTTAAGTGCAGCACTTAAATTAAGAGCACTCCTGCATATTTGGAAAGAGTTGGTCAGCTGGCCCAGTGTTTATTTTTTAGTATGTTTAAAAGCATCAGAGCAAGGCAATGATACTGTCACTGTTCACCATTTTGTTTGCAGGGTGGTGTTTCATGCACATACTAAACACAAAACTGCCTTTTTCTGGCAACAAAATACTATATTTGTCACTGGCATTGTATTGCAGTATCAGGGAGTGCTAGTGTAAGCCAGGATGGTTTATTGGTTTGGTCTATCAGACATCTGATGTCTGACATTCAAAAGCAAATGCTCACTTCTTAGTTTCATCAGTATGCCTTTCGTGGAACTACAGAGGGAGGTAATGGCATCCCCATTCAGCTTCACCGGAGCCATATCTGAAATAAAACCAATTCTAAATGGACAGGCCGACATCAATCCTGCAAAGGTCATCACTAGAGATAATCTTCAGTGTTACTCCTCTAGGACCAAAGCCTGAGACTGATTTATTCTGATATTCCTAAAGGCAACACCTTTGAGTAAGTGTTTATTCTGTTTAAAGGCTCTGATAGTTTGCACTGCAGCTACTGTTTTGTGCCTGGTGTGTGGATAAGATGGTAAGTTACTTCAGATCATTCTTTGCCATTTAGACACATGTCCTCTGCTAAATGAATAGATGAGTAAGACTCTTTAGTGATGAAAACCTCTAGATTCTGTATTCCACAGGCTTTTTTCATGAACCTGATCTTTTCTTTTAATAGTCCCTTGACCATCTTGTGCAATATTGGCTACCATAGTTTTCTTTGACAAACAAATAAAAATTAGACTGCCTTTTGTACATTTTGTAGGATGTTTTTAAACTTCTTTTTTGTTTGCTGGCTTACTTGTTGGCACGTAGGCAGAGGCAGATTCATATTTTGCTGTTGTTTTGTAGTCCCTATAGTCCCACAGCCTGTTCAGTGGTCAACAAGATGAGAAATTCTACACTAGGTTCTTTTAACTTGGTCTAGGTACCTCTCAGCCTAGTATTGGTCACCCTATTTTTTTAGTTTAAAATAAACCAATAATGATGATGGTAGTACAACAATGCTACATTAATTTTGAAACTGCAGAGCATGCTTAAATTATTACCCAATGTGTGTAGGTAATTTACTGTTTTTCTCTTGCACTGGGTTAAGTAGGTTTAAATTGAAATCATCTCTCTTCTTGGCGTTTTTAGACTGAATATTAACTTAGGCCAAAAATAATCAGAATGTTATTTTGAAAAAAGAATATGATAATTCAATATCTTTTCCTTCAGGCTATGAAAGAGTGCCTCTAATATGATTCCCAGAGAATAGAGCATGTGGTGACCTTGGTAAGTAATTGATGACACCTCACATAAGCACCTACTCTTCTTCCTCTAGATGATGTTATTGCAGGATCATATTTGCAAAAAAGTGCCAAAGGTAGCAAGAGCCACCAGCATTAATAAATTCCATTGTGGCAACAAAGGAGGAATAAAAACATAGAATGCAAAATATGTCATCTTAAATTGAGCAGAAGATCTTGAAAAAGATTCTTCACAGGGATCATTTTCCATCTTGACACTATTTAAAAAGCTGGTTTTGAGTTAAAATTGCTATTGGTGGGTGACCAAACGTTTACCCACAAAAACTAAACTTACTGTTTTGCTCAGAGAAATGTTCTGCTGTCATGCAAGACTACATGCCTCTATTCCAAACAGCATTATTTCTTTATATCTCTGAAGACTTTTTGTTTCCAGTTTTCACATAACTGAATAAAACTGACTTAGTGGCTTTATTTCATTGTTAATATTCACAAGTATTGAAGAGGAATGGAAGGGAAAATGAATTTAATTTAAAAGAGGTGGCAACCTGTTACAGAAGTAATAATCTTCCTGATTTTTTTCTTTCTTTTTTTTTTTTCCTGTTTCCCATGCTATGTGGAGAGATTTTTCTTCTTCCAGTGAGACTCTAACCATAGCCTAACGGATGACATAAATATAAGCATCTGAAATTTCATTTGTGCATCAAAGAAAAGAAAAAAAGAAAGCTAGGAAATTTCTAGGAAGCAAAAGTCAATATAATTTTGTAATAAATTTATCCAATTACTTATAATTACTTGATAATTCCCTTCCAAAAGCATCTTAACACCTAGACACTTCCAATGTATTTGCATAACTTTATGTTTTCTCCCATATCTTTGCAAAAATTATACACAATTTTACATCAAGTTTATATGATTAACCACAAGATGAAGCGAACCACAGAAATCACAAAACATTCTCTTTTTTTGTATGCAGATTGGGTCACTTTTCCTATTGTGGGGGCACTGCCCATTCCTCCTGATGCGCCTGTCTACCACGGCCTTTTCCCACCATGTCAGACCTAAGTTTTGTGAAGAAGGCTGTACGCAAAGGTAGGCATGTGTTTGTTTCCTAGGCAGGTTAGACTCATGCAATTATGGAATATTTATAGTTTATAAATTTAACCTTTTGCATTAAAAAAAAAAATTGAGAGTCATAATCCCAACCTTGAAGGTAAGGATTTAATGAGTAAAGGTATGAATTGAATTTACGTATGGGGTTTATCTGAAAAGAGACGGAGTAGGTTTCATGGGGAATAGCACCCAACTCACATGTATTTTCTTTTCCAGTATTTTTAACTCTAACTTGTGATTTGGGTTATTATCTTATTACTTGGCAATTAGTTTGTTTCCTAGGCAGGTTAGACTCATGCAATTATGGAATATTTATAGTTTATAAATTTAACCTTTTGCATTAAAAAAAAAAATTGAGAGTCATAATCCCAACCTTGAAGGTAAGGATTTAATGAGTAAAGGTATGAGTTGAATTTACGTATGGGGTTTACCTGTGTCAGAAAAGAGATGGAGTAGGTTTCATGGGGAATAACACCCAACTCACATGTATTTTCTTTTCCAGTATTTTTAACTCTAACTTGTGATTTGGGTTATTATCTTATTACTTGGCAATTAGTGTAATGTAATTTCTTTTTTTTTTTTTTTTCCTCTTGCTTTATGTTTATCTTGTATCAAAAGACCATGCATAGGTATTTGAGGGGATGACCTTTCTACTAGTCTGTAGCAATAATATTTATATTGTTTCTACTCTACTGGTAAGTAAGTACTCCACAGCTCACTTTTGCTGTGAATTGTTTGATAAACTGTATGATAAGATAATATTTATGTGCTGTTTTGAAAAGCAAATCCTCATTGTTTAGTGAGTTGGAAAAGAATATCTTACCTTTTTCTTATGTCAAGTGAATTGTAACTAGGGTTCTGCACATTCCCACTTGAGTATTTAGCTGGGATGATTATAGAAAGAGTTTGAAAAGAGAATGATAGCCCCAGCCAAAATGAAGCTGTATTCATTCCACTGTATGCCAGTTTTCAAGGTTTTTTTACATCTGCTCAAGCAGATGTTTGACACTTTCAATCATGTAACTCTTGTAGGTTTTGATGGGCATCAAATTCCCAAGTACCTAGTGGAATCTGTTACCCTCTTAATATTTTTTGTTTGGTTGGTTTTGTTTCTGCTTTTTTTTGCTGGAGGAAGTAGAATTAATTTCCTGAGTCCTGGCATACAATTTGAGTTTGAGTACTTCATTTTAATGGGAGATGTTGTGTAGGTAAATCATTAAATTCTTCAGTTACTAATTTTTGGAAGAGGCAAAAATAATGTCAGTAGCGTATAGAGCAGGTTTAATAGGTTTCTGCATCCTTATTTCTCATCCTTTTAGGTAAAAATTTCAGTTGGCAATGAGAAAAATAGGAGACAGTGACAATCCCTTTTACAATTTTAAGATAGTGGATTATATAATTCATGGCATTCTTCTTGTAAGAACAAATGGTAGCCTTTTTTTTTTTTTGTGGAATTCAAACCCAAATGGTTCTGCTGTACTGCAGCCAAGCCTTTCTCCATGTTCAGCAGTAGCAGAAGCAATGGATCTCTATTTGATCTAGCATGACGAAATATGCTGTGTATATTGACATTTATCTCTCCATAGTGAATACTGTGTGGTCTGGGTTTATATAAGATGGGTAGGGTAGTTGGTTAATAAGCCTACTAAAACATTTCTGTTACATTTAGCAGTGATATGGAGCTGCACATGGCTATTAGCATTTGCTAATTTTACAGGGAAGAGGAGCATTGGGAAATTGAAGTAGCACTTTTCCCTGTAGAATGAAGAGCGCTAAACACAATTCACCTATGACTGTCTTTTTAAGCAACCAGTAAAATTCAAATTTAAAGGCAGTTGAGTTGGAAATGTCAGTGAAATTTTGAACCTCTGCTGCAAGAAAATTGTCCTGTAACCAAAAAGGAAGAGGGAGATGTCAGTCATGTAATTTAATCAGATTATGATAAAATTCAATTTCTGTCTCTTTCATATTTTCCCTAAAGCTGTTGATGGTGCCTAAAAGTAATCAAGGGCCAGGCAGTCATATAGAATGCAGATGGCTTTCTCTCAACCATCAAGATTACACATATTTTCAGTATCGGGGTGCAGGAATGCTTCAATACCCACAGAATTTTCACTTAATTTTCACATAGTTTTGTTAGAAAATGTGTATTTTAAAAGGGTTTATTTTATGTGGAAAATATATATACTTGGATTCATTTTACTTTATCCATTGGCTGTCACAGCTGTCACTGGACTTTACAAATTAGGCATAATTGTACTTATAAATTTAGGCAAACTGAAGCAAGATCTGTAAAAAGAAGTAATACGTTTTATTAAAACAACTGGTGTAATTGATTTCCAACTGATAGGCTTAAAAAATGTAGATAGGTGTACAGTCTTCATGACTTCAGGAAGGTATCCAAGAGTCCCTGCTTTTTTCACCTGTTTAATTAGAAAAACTGTCTATAGACTTTGACTTATCTTTGTACCAAAGAGTCTTCATTTCAGATGTCTGGTTTTTGTCCTACTTAGGATCAGGAACAGTGCATAATTTGTTAGCAGGACATGTGTCATAAAATGACTTTTCAGATTGCATCAACTATGAGCCATACTTGGGGCAGATAGGATTTTTGTGTGTGTGTGTGTCGCCAGGAAAATAATTTCTTTCTATAAAGTTTGAAATTCTGCATCAGTCAGCTAGCAGAAGGAAATAAAGCAAGAACACTCAAATTTGATTTTTATTTCAGTTCCTAGAGCCACTGCAGTTTCACTTTAGTAGGTTCTACAAATGTAGTCCTTCATTTGAGACTCAACTGATTTCTTATATAAGGAAACATTTAATTGCTGTCTTGGCAATGCTATGTACCAGCACTGTATCTTGCCCTGCAAGAATTTAGTAGCCAAATTTAGTAGGTGGGGCTCCCAAACAGGCAGTTAGCCATTTCCTGTAAGTACAGGGAATAGAGACTTGGCAGTACTACTTTCTGCCTGGCACTGCACGTGGTTTGTTGGTCTTCTACATCACTCATGGTCATCGTTATTAGTTGATTATTTGAACTGTGAGGACTGATGCAGCTGATGGTGGGGCTCAGTTACGGGTTTTGGTAGTTCAAGTCTGGCATTGTAGTAGAGTGTCTGTGCCTAGTCCACATCTGTACTCCCTGCCATCCATGTCAGCAGCTGCTCAGATGAAGGTGAGATAAAGACACAAGAGGGTAAGATGACGTGGTTTTTTTAATTAGCTGGGCTTTTAACAAGTAGACTAATATTAAAACATAGACATGTGAAGAAGATAAAGGCCTCACTGCGTCAGTTCTAGCCACAAAATATTCTTACAGAGCCACTGCACATTTCATGTACAAGAGAAGCCCAGTTTCTGCTTTTGGAGCAGCCAAAAGCACTTCTCATATCAGGCAATACTTGTCAGAGGTTATTAGTGCTTGAGTATAATTGTTATTTAGTTATAAAATAGATCTGGCTCTTTGCTTCTTGGCTCTTAACTTGCACTTCTCCAACTTTGCTAAGCATTAGTACTATCTTGGCTCGTTTATTTGAGCTTTGCATGAAGACTGAGAATTTGGACACAGACTATCAGTTCATGCCCATAAGATACATTTTAATCATTATTCTTCTGTCCAAAATCTGTTTAACTTCCTCAATAGAGTAACTTGTTTTCATTCAAAACTAAAAATGAAAAATAAACAGCATCATGAGAATGGATAGCCTGAGCCAGTGGTCACAAACTGTGTCTTGAGAAGTTCAGATATGATATTAGGAAAATATTCTTCACTATGATGTTATGCAGCACTAGAAGAGGTTACTGAGAGAGGTGATGGAATCTTCCCTCTTGGAGGATTTCTAAATTCAGCTAGCAAATAAGCCACAGATAACCACAGCTGACCTGGTAGAGTGAAGCTTATAGTCCTTCTCAGAGAAGAGAGTTGAACTAAATGATCTCCATAGAGTCCTTCAGGTACACACTTGTATGATTTAATCAATACAAACATCAGGGGCTATGTAACTGTAAGGTTTTACCTAGCAAATGATAAATTAAGTAATATATAGGCTGACACAAAGTGTGCAGAGGTTTAGAGACAGTGCTAATTCAGGCCTAAGAGCAGGTTAATTCACCAATAAAGGGCAAGTGCTATGTTTTTATGAAGGATAACATTCTGATGACTTACTTCTCTTGGATTGTTCCTTTTCTGTTGATTTTAGAAGGGCTGTTAATGGAGTATATTTCTTATCTGATACAGATAGTCTCTCTAGGCCCCTTATTCTACTCTAATCTTTTTATGACAAGCCTATTTCCTTTACCTTATAAACTTTGATTTTTAGGCTTCTGTTTTCACTGTTTCCTTTTTCATCTATGGGCATAGAAAAGTGACCTCATACTTATAAAGATGAAGATCATTAATTCTGAAACTCTCCAGGATTACAGGTTGTTCTGGCTGATGTATCAGTAAACTTCTTTGAATTGTCTCCTTTATCAGCTAGAAGTGTGTGTTCCGTTGACCAAAAAATTCAATCTCTAAATAAAATTAAATTAGGAAAGAAAATCAAGAGCCTTCCAAGGTCTGTTTCACATGCTACAATCATCATAAATACAAGTACACTGATTTTTTTTTGCATATCTTAACTTTGAGGATAAAATATATTTGGAAGATATTTAAATTTTGTGAAGATCTTTTTTCATGGAGGTTTTGAAAGTGAAGTCAAAGTTCTTTTGCTTTAAATTTAATTCAGAATTCAAACTGCCAAGTGGTTGCAACACTAATTCGATTCATATTGTGCGGAGACAGACTTGTTGCATCTCTACTTGTTGATTTTTCCACTAGATGGCATTATGCATTAGCTGCAAGTTAATTTATGAGCTTAACTATAATTGCACGTGCTAAAGATTTAAAAAATAAGAAATGATCTATTGTGCTTGCTCTTATTCTATGCAAGAGTGAAAGAACTGTGGCTTAAAAATCACTTGACCTACTTCTGCCTAACGGTAACCCAATCCATCCCTAATGCATCAAATATGGATTTACTCAAAGCAATAAAGGAAGTCAGCCATGGCAACAATATCTGATTCTCTGTGCAGTGTGCCTTTTAGAATAAGACTCTTCCAACCTTTTCTGCGTTTAATGTTTAAAGAGTGAGTTCAGTGTTGCAGATTGCTTCCTTTCTGGGTACATGGCCTCAACTGAAGTGATAGGAAGTGTCCTAAGAAAAGCTGCAAAGCTGAAGATTGCTTTTAAATAAAGAGCCCCTGATGAGCTTTTTTTTATTTAGTAGCTAATTCAGGACAGATTGTCAGAATAATTTATCACTGCAGTTTTAAATATAGATATGCAGTTGTTTCCTCCACCCAGAACTGTTAGCGATACCTTACAAAATTATATGGTCCTCAAGAGTGAGGTTTCTAGAACTTAAGATCCTGACCAGTGAAGCATCATCTGATGTGGAGCAAAGGTCTAATACCATCAAAAGAATTGACTAGTGGTTTGTTTGCTTTAATCACAAGATTTGTGGTGACTAGACAAGGAGAAATCAGCAGTCCTGGCAGCAAGAAGGATTTGGTATGTGAGAAGCAAGGAAGCAGCAGTAGTGGTGTGAGAGGTGAAGAGGGAGGCAATTAAAGGAGCAGATAGCAAAGCCAGAGGTGGAGGAAAAGAAGAACCATAGAGGGAGAAGAATTTGGTGACAGGAAGGTCCAAATTTTTCATGCCAAGCTTACTAAGTTTTTATGCATGCTAGTGGGTGTAGGTACATGAGTATTAATTTTAAGTTTGTATTCTGGGGGAAAAGAGAAGAGGTGGTGCTTTGTTTTAAACTTGTCTTCCAAAACTAGAGACTGTATTCACAAAAGAGGGCTCATCAAGTTGCTGATCAGATTATGTAGGGTACACTTCTCTGCGTTCCCTGTTCTGAGCTGGCTCGTTTCTTGATTCTTTATGTAGAATCTAAGAGGCTCCAGGCTGGAAAGGGGTAATCAAATATTATAACGCTTAATTCTAAGAAGGGGTGTGGAATACAAGCTGGATGAAGCAGTTCAGTTAGCCTGGGCCAATAATGGAAAAGCATCCAAAGCCAAGGAAACACATAAATATTACCTTAGATTAAACAGGTCTTTTAAATTCTTGTGGTGGTCAAACACATAATAGAAAAGTAGTTAAACTTCTGCTTAAGGTTGTCTCTGAATTGGGCTTTTGTGAAGAGGACATATCAATGCCACTTGTAAAAACTTATCAAAAACTTGCCATAAATTCAGGCTATGAAACTATTTGTGTTTTCTGTTTAAAACTATTTTACTTATGCGACCCCCTAAGCTTTAATAAACTATAATTTTAAATGCCCTATGTAGTGCATAGCTGTAGATGATGCAATATATGATTCTTTGATGCAGAAGTGTTTATGGTTTGTATTTGCCTATGATGGTCAATATGATTCAACTTTTTTTTAACACTGATATAAAAAAATGTCACGATACCTGCCTTCTACCAACAATGCTGTTAAGCTTTTTGGAAGCCTAAGTCAGTAGGGTGGACATTGGGAAATTTTGGACAGGAATCTTGTCTTTTTCCCAACACTAATCTCTCCTGTCTTAATCCCCCAGGTCACGTTGCAGAGGCCAGAATCTGCTCACATGGAAATCGCTGTATGATGGAGACTGTAACACAAGTTAACACTGGTGGTAAAGTCTGTCACCTCCCATCACAATGAGGTATGGGCCCATTTCCTTACTCCAACCAATTCAGGCTCTCTCTCTGCTCTTGTGAGATGTTGTGTTTACTGGGGGGCTTTGCTCTTCTGCAGGTTTTTTGCTATGAACAGAGGGAGGCACCACCAAGGAGGGAGGAGGGATGCATAGGTTGGGAATTGCAGTAGCATCCTGCAACAATATCTGTACTTCTAGGCAGTCACCAACAGCCAGGCTGGGAAGGAAAGAGAAGGAAGGAGCAAATACTTGGCAGCTGCCTCAGTAATGGATCCCATTTCATTCCTGGCAGCTCAGGTCTTCATAAACTCGTGATTCCACTGGACCTAACTATAGGCAGTCAGACATTGATGTCTGAACATTATTATTTCTGGTTCCCAAAGGGCAAAGTACACTTGCAGTGTACGTGGGGTTTGTGTTAGGAAAAAATATTAAAAAACCCACAAAACCCACCTCAACAAACCAATAAAAGAATTAAATATGAAATCTCCAAGGGAACATAGCAGAGGGTCCATCTTGCTGTGGTGGCCCAGCCCTCCTTTGCTATTTCCTGGCCCTCAGGTGAGTGTGTGGAAGAGACAGTACGCATAAAGTATAGTAATACAGTGAGAATGAAAAAATTCTGAGATTTTTAGTGAACAACAGAGAATCACATAAAACAGACTAATTTAAGAAGTCATTTAACTATATATTTCGATTATATTGTTGAAGCGCCTACAAACTGCAAGTATGGACTAGCATATAGTTCCACTGAATTAGAGCAACTGCCTTCCTTATGTCACTTGAAATGAAGAGATTGAACGTAGGTTTTAGTTGGTTAGTAATATTAGAAATTAATTATTGTTAATTGTACTATTGGTTAATTTCTATAAGCACATGTATTGCGTTACTAGGATCCAAAACTTGAGAGCTTCACAAATGATATCAAATCTTACTACTAATTAGCAGATTTTCATATGAAAAAAGTTAGTGACAAGGATTTCCTTTATTATTTGGTGAGTATTCACTGAAAATCAACACACAAACCCTAGTATTTGAAGTGTGTATTCTACATCGTGATTCAAATGGTAGAGCTCCAAATCCCCAGGAGATTTTAATATATCCAGTTGTTTAAGAACATACAGCAGAGATGAGCAAGCGTGTTTAAGAAATGGATATTTGAAAGCACGTATACTCTTTCTGTTCCTAAAAATGCTGTGCTACTAGAAACAAAGGAATTTTAAAAGACCCATTCACCAAAAAATTATTTATATGAATGTGTAGAACATTCATTACAAATCCACCTTGCTTAGCAGCAGTTCAACCCAGTTGTACTTTGACATTGCAGCGTCAGCCACAAAATCGGACAGCACAAGCGTGCATCACTTACCGCAGGCAAAATCCATTTCAATCAATATGAAATAAGTGCTCTATGTGTATATTGCAATCGCTGTTTGGTGCTCCACTTAAAGCACTACAAATTGCAACCTGTAGTATTCACAGTGAGCTGCACAAACATTACTAACAAATTTATGATTTATAATGCAGTTCTCTTTTTTGAGGCACCATAATGACATGGGCAATCAGACATAATCCAAAACAAGGACTCTAAACTGCCCTTACATTTAATTACTGAACTTGGGGAAAAGTTTACCTATAATTCCTCATTTTTATTGTTCTGTCTTTCCAGTGGCTCAAAACTACTTTTTGAACCATTGCTTGATAGATCTCTTCTGAAACGACTGGATTTCCTGGTGACTTTGGTGGGCTTTCTGTTGGGTTCAAAAGGATTAATTAGACTAAAACACCTTGAACCATTGCTTGATAGATCTCTTCTGAAATGACTGGATTTCCTGGTGACTTTGATGGGCTTTCTGTTGCGTTCAAAAGGATTAATTAGACTAGAGTACTTCTAAAAGATCCAGCAATATTTTTAGATCATAAAAATCATAAACTCAGAAGTGAACACAGTTGTTTTGTAGTATCTGCAGTACAGTCCTGCCTGTAGCTGTGACCAAGAAAGTGGAAAATAAAAATCATAAACTCAGAAGTGAACACAGATGTTTTGCAGTATCTGCAGTACAGTCCTGGCTGTAGCTGTGACCAAGAAAGTGGAATTTTCTTATTTTCAGCAAATAAAGAAAAATAATCAAGCAAACTAATAAAGCACACTTAAACACAGCCAGGAAGTCATGGATCTTTTTTAGTACTTGTGAAGAAGGTTGGTCACCCTCAGAGGATGTTGTTAAATTCAAAATATTGGAATTAAAAAAGAAAAAGACAGTACCTGTCTTTTCCCAATAGGAAAACTAAGATGACAGTTGAGAAAAGAATTCAAGTTTCAATGTTAGTTCTAAATACATCAGCAGTTGCATTGGGTCTTTTATCTGTATTTTATATGACACAAATTGTAAATCAAAGTGCACTTTAAAGGCTTTTCAGTGAGAAGAAGTTTGGTTTTTTAAATGGATAACATGATTGTTTAGCCATAACTGTATTATAAATTTACTGAATCATTTTTGAAGACGTGCTTTAAGACTGTGATTTGGTGGGGCTTTTATGCTTGCTAGAACCAAAATGACTCCTCAGCGGAGTCCCTGAGTTAGTGGTCTGGACTCACTCGACAGTGCTTTCAGTATAAATCTTGAAGCCATTATTTCTGTGCTTTCTTTATGTGCATATAATTGTTAGTAGAACTTTTTGCATGAAAATGTAAGCAGGACTTTGGTAAACAGTCAGATACTCAGCCATATCCTGGGCTGTGGCGGAAGAGGCATGGCCAACAGGTCGAGGGAGGTGATGTCTTTATGTGCATATAATTGTTAGTAGAACTTCTTGCATGAAAATGTAAGCAGGGCTTTGGTAAACAATCAGATACTCAGCCATGTCCTGGGCTGTGGCGGAAGAAGCATGGCCAGCAGGTCGAGGGAGGTGATGCTGCCCCTCTACTCTGGTGAAACCCCACCTGGAGTAATGCGTTCAGCTCTGGGGCCCTCAGCAGAGGAAGGACATGGACTTATTAGTCAGAATTTTGCAGTTTGAATATCACTTTTCAATCAAGTTGCTAGGGGACTTGTTGTACCTAGTAATACTTTCCTTGGGTTGAACAGTTACTCATTAAGTTATCTTAATACAATGAACCGCTAATAGGATATTCTGTAAACCTTTACTGAATTACAGTTCTGAGCCTGTAGATCAGTAGCGTGGCTTCTTCTGTGTTACAGAAACGTAGTCTGACCTGTAGCAGCACCTTCTGATTCAACTGTAAATTTGCTTGTGACCAGACAACACTGCTCCAATTCCAGCAGTACTCATACTAGATTTGCTGAAGTAATGCTAACCATCACGTAACCTACTGTGGTGTTGGTCTACATTCAGGGACAACACTGGTGGGAGAGTATGAGTATCGTCACTCTCTTCTTATATTCCCCCAGCAACAACCAGTGTTTTTTCCAAGTGACAGTATTTTTTGTGAGAGGTTTTCCTGAAGGTAGTGATCATTAGGCCAAAAGTTTGATTGCTGCTATGGCTTCTGTGGAAGAAGTGGAATGAGTGAAAGCGTCAATATTTGGATGTTTCTTAATTCCTATGATAATCTGAACTGTATTCTCACTCTGGTTCATAATTTTTATATTTTGTGGATTTCAAAAGAAACAATTTTGAGGCATAAATCCCATTTTTTAATTGATGTATGTGAGAGACAGAAAAGTGTTTGTGTCTGAACTCAGCAAGTGAAAGCAGGATCCAGAAATCCTCTGTGGAGGCATTCCTCTGCCAAGCTCCCTCCTCCAGATGAATGAACAAATGCAGCTGCAATACTAAACCCTAAACACATCATAAACATCTGCAGAGATGGAAGGGTCTTTGCTTTGGCACTCTCTGCTGTAATCTACAGATATCAATATTCCTGCCTCTCAGAAAATCAGTAAATGCATCACCAGTGTAAAGCCATGGCTAACTGCTGGCACAACACTTACTGGGAGCCAGGATGTCATCTTGGTCCTTTGTAGAAGATCTCTTTGGTGACAGGGATTCACAGCTGCTCAGAAATGATGGAACATAAAACTTCATGCTCAAGCAGACCTTGAGGACCCAGGAAGAAGCCTGTTTCATTAGCCCAGTCCTAGTAGCACAGAAGAGGCATAAAGCAGGCTTCTGCTGAGTTCTAGAGGCAGGTGGAGGAATTTGAATTTGTTCAGCTGCTTCAACAGATACTGAGAACATCTTGGTTCCTTGGCTTCCTTTCCAAAGCAGTAAAAGATCTGAGAAGAGCAGTGGCACAGAGAAGCCTCTGCAAGGAGAGAAAGGTGGGGATTTGAGTATCTAGCTCACAGGAAACAAAGTTGTTAAGATAACATTTGGCAGCAGTTACTATTTATTTATTTTACACACCAACCTTCTAAATAATTGCAACAATCTCAGATGTTAACAAGGGGTATTAACTTGAAAATTAAGATTTTTTAGTATTAGTATCTGTAAGTTTCATTCCATCTGTTCTTTCTGGCCCACGTTTATGCTACTGGTATCGATCTGGTTGCTCCTGCTGCACAAGAGTGACACTTGGCCTAATATGTGCTTAAATAGAGTCTTTTTTATTTGTTTGTGTCTACATATGGAAAAAAAATCAAAATTCTATTTTACTTATACTCACACTTTGGAAAATATCTATTCAGTTATAATTTTTGATAGAACATTTTTATGCAAGATAAATGCATGGTAATTGTAAATTGCAAAACTGCAATTGTAATGCATTAAGAAAATAATTCTATTAATTGAAAGGTAGCCGTATATTTTTCTTTTGATTTAGAATACTAATTGAGTTTCAACAATGTGTTATTTTCTAGAAACCTGAAAATAAATGAGGATTTATTACGGCTTAACTTCCCCAGCAGAGAAGGCAGTAATGGTCAGGAATTTGGCAGAAGAGACGTTGTTTGCTTTCACCACTGTGTGATTCATCAGGACTCTTGCTAGGCCGGTAGTCACAGAGCGGTGCGGTGTGCTGCCAAAGGCGTCAGCAGTCTTGG